GACACACACAGACGCAGACACACACAGACGCAGACACACACAGACGCAGACACACACAGACGCAGACAGAAACAGACAGTTAGCCAACGTTAGTGAACCACGGTTGTCAAAGAAAAACTGTCAAGTAACTAAAGTTCAAGAAGCCCAATTCGTGAAGGAATTTGGACGAAAATGGCCTATTTGACAGCCTCTGACAAAGAACTCGGACTCGGACACCAGAGTTACGCAAAACAACGGTTCGCTGCTTTCGTGAGTCCCATGAAATCGGTCCCCCGTTCTGCAAGAAAACGAAACTAGAGAACGATCTATCTTCGGGACAGTTCCCGTAATCAGCATCCGTGTACCCTTTAAAAGATCTTGGATCTGAACCGTATCTCAGTTCCACACTGATCGAGCCCTTCCGATAACGCAGAACACGTTTGGCAGCCTTCCAATAATCTGTACCAAAACAATTATTAACCTGTCACGAATAACTTGCCGGAAACGCAATGTCCGGTCGTGTGGTAGATGCCAAATAAGTGAGAGCTCCAACAATCTATGTTGGGAGCTTCAAGTTTTCCAGAGATTACGATTTCTTCAACAACTTGACATTTGGTTCCACAGGGGTAGTATCGCATTGCATGTCATACCAAATCGCAACAGCAGATCTTGGATGTAGCCCCGCTGATGCAACGTCACTTGCCCATCTGATTGCTCGAATCCTATCCCTGAGCAGGGCTTGACGAAGGTAGTTCGCAATGTTAACTGCTTCTGCCCAAAAATGATCAGGTAGATTTGCGTACTTCACCAGGCATCTAGCGATGTCCAAAAGCGTGAGATTCCTCCATTCTACGACTCCATTTTGCTCTGGATTGTAGGGAATCTTGAGTATTTTCGAAATACGATGCTTCTTGAGAAAATCGTTGAATCCGGTACTCAAATACTTACGCACATTGTCTGACTAAACATTTTATGATCGTACCTTCCTCGTTTTCGACGCTTGCCAAAGAATACGTAAATACCTTAGAAACTTCGGCCTTGTACTTCAAGAATTTGACGTCGCACCATCGAGTGCTGTCAGCGATGAATTCAATATGGGTAATTTCACGCGAACTCAGCACGACCGCACACCCGATTATCTCAGATTTTTTATAAACGACAATAACTTTGTTTGATATGTTGTAAAGATATATTTGCCAAAGTTACTGCCTTCTACGGTAATAGTTTTATGTTTTACAAGCAATAGATTTTGAATGGATAAAAGGCGATTTTGGACATACTTAATTTTGTTTTACTCATAATGAGTCAATTTACCTCGCAAAACACACCAAAATACATTAATTCTGAATGAAAATATACCAAAGAATCGATTGGTGTCATTTTCAGTTATAAGTTTCTCGACTCGACTAGTCAAAATGGCCGTTTTTAAAGTCTTTTTTTTATAAACAATTAAAAATTTCATGTTGCTCATATTTTTAAAATTATCAACCAACAATATAAGTATTATTATCTTCATCTTTACACATTTCCTCTTCTTCAGATGTGTTTAAAACGAAATTTGTTAAAATTGTATTTACATCTCCTTTAGAACACTCCAAACACTTGCGTAGCATGCAGTCTTGATTTTTTACATTACAAACAAGTTTTGTTATTACATCATTCAACGAAAGATTGGAATTAA